CCTTGGTATTTTCGGGGTTGAAGATTGCAATTGTTTTTCTCCTCCAATTTTTTGCTCATCCTGATGGCTCTAAATTAGCACCCTCTAGTGGTCTTGCTACCAGCAGTATCCTTCCACTCGAAGGGCCGAGACCAGCGTCCGCTTCAGTACGGACACCACCGGGCAAAGTACAACCGTTATTAACCCAACTCGGCGGTCATTCCAAGGCTGAAGAGCTGATGGGATTGGCGCATTCGACCCCCGGGCATAAAAGCGAACGAGGCGGGGACAGGTTTGAAGTCCGCGTGATCGGGGATTCCCATGTTATTATTAAGCCGTCCCAAGAATTTGTGGCAGGGAAGAAACGACCAAGCTTCAAAGTTCAAGTCAAGCGGCATAATGAAGCTCTTCCTTATGAGCTCTCCAAATTGTTTGATGGAGTCTACACACTGAAACTAGATAACCAAGATGCGTATGGGTCGGTGAACGTGACAATATCGACCGTTAAGCCTCCCCTGACACAGGTTACCCAAGTGGACTTTGGAACGCCATGGCTGAAGCTTGAGAATTGGAAGCGAGCGGCTCAGATTCTCTCGTGGCAGCTCACAAGAGAGTTGACTACGGCGCAGAACGGCCTCTTGGAAGTGTATGATCGGTTTTACAACGACCTACAAGGATTAGTGGAGGATGCTGCAAAAAAGGCACAGTCTTTCAGGCACGAGATGTACTTTGGTCAGCATGGTTCGGTCCTAATTTCGTCCTACGTACGAGATGTCGCATCAAGATCAAGGCAACTATCCGAGGCTCTCAACCACAACGCCGTCCAACAATTGCTCGCAACTTCCACGGCACTTCAAAGCTATAAGACCAAAATAAACCAAGAGGCGAAAGACCTTATGAGCAACTCTTGGAATAAAATCACCGCTTTGACGCGAACTGTTGATATGAATCCTGTGACGGACATCATGCGAAACGCCCGACGAAGCAAGACTTTGGAAAAGGCACAGCAAAGAGCGAAGAGCCTGATTTGGAGAGAGTCCTGTGAGAACTCGAAATGCTCTGTACATGGTCGTCAAGGGTGATTATGGTCATGACATGTATTTTCAAGGCTGAATCGATTGATTTGGGTTCTCAGTTTCCGACTGGGTGGAATAGTATTTTACGGTGGATTTAATGGTTCAAGGAGTTTATGGGGATCAGGTGTAATGACAGACATTAGGCCAGTTTGCTCTGTTATTAGCTCTAATATGAATATGCATGTATTTTCAGCGTGATGCCCAGTCTAGTTTTCCAGAAGTAGCCCTGTTTCTGATGGTGGGCAAAATAGCCAAGGCGGTGAGGGTCAGCCAAATTTTGCCAAATGGAACCTCCCCACCTTTTAGGAGCCAAAAACACTTCTGTTTGTTCACTTTTTCCTTCCCCTATCCTCCTCCATCTTATTCCCTTCATTCTTACCACACCCTAAATTTCCATCTGTTCTTCAGAATACCCTTATTCTATCTTATCCTATTTACTTTAAATCCACTTAGCCACCATGTCTGACGTCGCGGACAAGAAACCCGACCCCTCCACCGCTCCTGAGGAGGAGAAGAAGGCTGAAGAGCCCACCACCACCACCGAGGAGACCTCCAAGACAGAAGAACAGAAGCCTGAAGAGGGCGCTGCACCTAAGACTTCCGACAGCGTCTTCTCCATGTTCGGCGGTGGCCCTAAGAAGGAAAAGAAGGAGGAACCTGAGGAGGGCGAGGAGGAGCCTTCTGGATCTTCAAAGGCACAGAAGGGTGATGAGGTATGTTACGCTAGCCCTCTTTGTTTCATTTCTTGACAGTTGTTGACTCTATAATATAGGAAGAGGCCCCTGAGTCTCCTGAAGTTCACTTCGAGCCCGTCATCCACCTGACGGAGAAGGTCGACACCAAGACCAACGAGGAACTCGAGGAGCAGGCTTTCAAGATGCGCGCTAAGCTGTTCCGATTCGATCGCGAGACTAAGGAGTGGAAGGAACGTGGTACCGGTGATGTGAGGCTGTTGAAACACAAGGAGAACCACAAGACTCGTCTAGTCATGCGCAGAGATAAGACCCTCAAGGTCTGCGCTAACCACTACAGTAAGTGTCCTGCTTGTCGGCTCTATGGAATTTGTGTTGATGAAGATGACTAGTCGTTCCCGATATGAAGTTGAATCCCAACGTCGGTAGCGACCGTAGCTGGGTCTGGAATGCTTCTGCCGATGTTAGTGAGGGTGAGCCTGAGGCGCAGACTTTGGCCATCCGCTTTGCCAACAGCGAGAGTAAGTTGGGCATTCTTCGAGGGTAGATTTGGATGTCGCTAATATCGTGTCAGATGCCAATCTCTTCAAGGAGGCGTTTGAGAAGGCTCAGGAGGAGAACTCGAAGATCTTCCAACAGTAAAGAAGTTATGGGCTTTTTGTACTGTTTTGATCAATCAGATGCTTGCCTATGAACACTCTTACACAATTACCCAACTATCCAGCTTCCCTTCTTCCTCATTATTCCCCTTGAAACACTTTTTCCCCCATTTCCCATCCACCACCCCTCCCGTCCCCTTCCCTTCCCTCCCCTACCTTAAGGCAGCAGAAATGAGGATGCTGTAATGCGGGAGTCATCTTATGCACACGAAAAGGCGGTGCATTACTTGGAACCGTCTGTTTCGGATGAGATATTGGCAGTAGATAGAATGACCTCGAATATACGCATGAATACACGGATGATCTAGCAAGAAATAGAAGTAAAGTGAAATAGAACCAATGAAAAAGTGAATTAATAAGGTAATAAAAATCAATTAAAAATGTATATTAGGTATATATAAAACGTGGTGTGATGTATATTGTTTAGATATAATAGAAGGGAGGTACTTAGTTACATGCGAGGCCACGGGATTCTCCAAGTTCTAACTCAGTCAAATATCGGCTTCCCCCACTCTATTGATCACGGTCCTCTTCTCTGACACTCACTCTATCTTCATACTTCTCTCACTGCATCCTCAATTACTCTATTTTACGATTATTTTCATTATTTGAATGATAACCTTGACATTCTAATCTCTAGACGTGCTGGTTCTTCCTTTACGCCTTCGGCGAGAAAAGCTTACTTCCGCTTCACTTCTCTACGCGGTAGCGCAACTACCTTACCCTGTACGCGCAACTCGCATACTACGCATACTACACATACTCAGACTTCTTGTTTCTCTTAGTGACTTTTGGAGCTCGTAAGGAAAAATGCCTGATGTGAGTCTTTTATTTCTCTCTGTTGCTTATCTGTCTGATAAATCCAAACGCGCACTCTCGCGGACCCTTTCCTTTTTGCGCACTCTTACGCTTTGCCTTTTGAATATCTTGCTAACTATCTCTTGTAAATACAGGTTAAGCGGAATCTCAGGCTCATTACCGAACAACATGTTGTGTACGTTTCATCCCATTCATTCCCAACCTAACCTCAAGAACTGTCACTACTTCCCGATCCTCTCTACCATCCTCTCTACCTGTATTTGTTCCTACATGGGATATATTAAGTGGCAGTTATTTTTTGTATCCCTTTCTGTCTAATTGAATAACTCCCATGGCAATTAATCCTATACGCTCTCCCAGTCCCTTCCCGTCATACGACCCAACAAGGCATACTAATCATTGCGCTTTTCAACAGAAACGAGGACTCCGGCATCGAAGGATTCCCACTTCGTTCTTGGTCGATCGAAATTTATTTACTCAATGAACATGGGGAGCAGGTCCCTGCTAGAGTCTTCGACAAGGTGACTTATAACTTGCATCCGAGTTTCGGAGATCGAGCTGTTCAAAGTATGTGTCAGCATGCAGGATTTCATCTACCTTTGGATTTGGGACGTAATGGGTAGAGGGATGAGAATATAGGCTGATGCGATAACAGCGGTCAAGAATCCTCCGTTCAGGATCGCCGAGGAAGGATGGGGAGAATTCGATATGCAGATTGGTCTCTCGGCTGCAGACAGGGAGCACTCCATTACCCATGACCTGAACTTTGCGCAGGAGCGCTACGAATCGAAACATGTTATTGTGAGTTTCTCCTTCCTATATCTCGAGGGTCCGGTCACTCATTATCTTGGTAGACATTCAAAAACCCCAAACCCGCCCTTTTGGCCGCCCTACGCGAATCGGGTCCTGTTCCTGGGGATGAGAATGGAGTCAAATCTAAGCGTGCAGCCGGTGGAGAAGAATCCTCCAAGAAAAAGAAGAAAATGGAGAAGAATGTAAGATCGATGCAGTTGTGCAGATGAACGACTCGTCTGACGAAGCAGGTCGATATGGATAAACTAGCCGATGGGCTTCAGAAGCTTGGCGAAGATGACCTCCTCCAGGTTGTGCAGATGGTTCACGATAACAAGGCTCCAGATTCATATACCAAGAATGATATTGAGCGTACGTCACATCCCGGAGCCCTCTATAATCCTACTAGGAGTGCAAGGAACTAACTTATGGCAGAGGGTGAATTCCACGTCGACCTGTACACCCTACCGGACAACCTGATCAAAATGCTCTGGGACTTTACCCAAGAGAAAGGAGCTCTGTGATCCCGACGAGTGGGATAATCCTTCACCGCTATCTTCTACCGTTTGTTTTATTCGCGATAACTTGCCGGTTATTTTCTTGCACTTGGTTTGGCATGCCGTGGTCTACTCTGCTTGGTACTTTCTAGCCTCTTTATCTAATAAGAAATGAATTGAATGGTCCAATGATTTAAGTGTATTTTAAAACACCTAGACTAGATAACGACAGAGCCGAAAGGAAAGAGAAGACAGGAACAAAGGGATATCTCAACAGAAGAGATCAAATCAGTGCAAATCACGACAAACTGAAAACAGAACGAAATAAATGCATCCACAGATCCTTCCTCTTCTCAACGCCATCCATATGTATGTATCAATGCAGGTATCAATTAACAAGTCAAGAAAACTCGTGAGCAACCCATACGCCTGTATCCTTCAGTCCAATCCAATTCAGTCTTCACCGAGATTTGAGATATTAATTAATTACAGCACACGATTCCTATACAACACAGGTTAGCAACCACTCACATAACTCCCAGATAGACAGGACGAAGAAAAACATACATCTTCAGCAAATCCTCCAAACTCTCGGCTGTGACACTTCTTCCTCTCGGGATCTGCCGAGCAATGTCGACTATCGTCGCAAAGACCTCCGCATCGCGGTAAGCCAGTAGCGCCGGCGCCTGGATATGGTCCATTTCTGCGATTTCATGGTGGAGTTTGACGAAGCGGGTTTGGGGGTTTTTCTCGGCGACAGTAACGAGCGTGTCTTCGACTATTGCGCTGGAATTGGACTATCGAGTATTAGAACTAGTCGTGGGATTGAAAAAGAGAGGGGGGAAAGGAGGGGGGCCAAAAGACAAACCTCAGGATCATAAATACAAACCACCACCACTGTATTCGCCGGAACCTTCTCAATCGCATCCAGGTACCCGCCGGCATCAACGTCCTCGACATATCCGTACATCCGCCTCCTAGGACTCACACGCCTGGTCGCGCCATTGCTCTGGGTCTGTAACTCGTGCATGCGCGACGCGCGCCACTTCCGCATGAAGTCATCGTCGTCTTCACTCGCTGAACTGTTCTCACCCTGCGCAGCAGGATGTTGGAGGAGGTCGTTGTGCGAGGATGAGGGATTGGAGTTGAAACCAGCTGCTGAGAGGAAGGTTTTGCGGAAGGAGGACTTGCGGGCTCGTTCGAAGGCTTGAGCGTCGGCGATGACGCCCTTGGGGCCGGTGTTGGCGTCGTAGATTGTGTTGGGGATGTGGTAGTTGTTTGGAGCGGTGCGGGAGGCATGGCTGGTTCGGAC